GCTAAGTGTAGAATGCAACAGCGAGACTGCTCCCAGGAGCAGATTTCTGCACTGTAGTTAAGCATGCTATTTAAGAAAGTTTGTTTTAAAAAATATTTATAGAAATATATTTTTATTGTTTTTAATTATTTTATTTAGATGGCTGCTTGCTCATAATCTGTGAAATATGATTCTAGATAGATTGCAGCTCAAGACTGCAATGCCTGCTCTTTCCATATGAACCTACCTAGACTCTGAGATCATCTTCTGAGGCCCTTCTTTGTGTGCCTCCTCCACAAGAGGTCCTTCATTATACACCTATAATGTGTAGACCTCTTTCACCAGGCCTTTGGCTGACTGACACCCAGTGTGTTGTGGAAGGGGGAATTATTGGGTTTTCTTTGTTTTTTATTATGCATTTTCTTTTTTATATTGTTATTTTATGTTGTGAAATGCCTTGAGATTGACTAGTATAGGGCAGTATACAAATTTAATCAATCAATAAAAATAAAATACACCACTTAGCAGCCCTTGGACAACCACAAGACCATCTTCAAGGGTAACCCCACTTAGAGCACATCATATTAGTCTAAAGTTGAGATTACCAGAGCCTGAGCCACGGTGGTGAGGCTATCCCAGTCCAGGAATGGTCATTGCTGAGGTACCATCCAGAAATGGAAACAGGCACTCCTCGCCATTGATGCCACCTGAACCACATGACAAAAATGACTCCAGGAATACCTGTACTTGCTCCTTCAGGGGAAGTGAGACTCCACCTAGAACAGGATGTCCCCTGAATTTCCAGACATGAAAACCACCAACCAACAGTGCCTTTCATAGAATCATAGAATCATAGAGTTGGAAGAGACCACAAGGGCCATCGAGTCCAACCCCCTGCCAAGCAGGAAACACCATCAGAGCACTCCTGACATATGGTTGTCAAGCCTCTGCTTAAAGACTTCCAAAGAAGGAGACTCCACCACACTCCTTGGCAGCAAATTCCACTGTCGAACAGCTCTTACTGTCAGGAAGTTCTTCCTAAGGTTTAGGTGGAATCTTCTTTCTTGTAGTTTGGATCCATTGCTCCGTGTCCACTTCTCTGGAGCAGCAGAAAACAACCTTTCTCCCTCCTCTATGTGACATCCTTTTATATATTTGAACATGGCTATCATATCACCCCTTAACCTCCTCTTCTCCAGGCTAAACATGCCCAGCTCTCTTAGCCGTTCCTCATAAGGCATCGTTTCCAGGCCTTTGACCATTTTGGTTGCCCTCCTCTGGACACGTTCCAGTTTGTCAGTGTCCTTCTTGAACTGTGGTGCCCAGAACTGGACACAGTACTCCAGGTGAGGTCTGACCAGAGCAGAATACAGTGGCACTATTACTTCCCTTGATCTAGATGCAGCCCAGAATTGCATTGGCTTTTTTAGCTGCCGCGTCACACTGTTGGCTCATGTCAAGTTTGTGGTCAACCAAGACTCCTAGATCCTTTTCACATGTACTGCTCTCAAGCCAGGTGTCCCCCATCTTGTATTTGTGCCTCTCATTTTTTTGCCCAAGTGCAATACTTTACATTTCTCCCTGTTAAAATTCATCTTGTTTGTTTTGGCCCAGTTCTCTAATCTGTCAAGGTCGTTTTGAAGTGTGATCCTGTCCTCTGGGGTGTTAGCCACCCCATCCCAGTTTGGTGTCATCTGCAAATTTGATCAGGATGCCCTTGAGTCCATCATCCAAGTCGTTGATAAAGATGTTGAATAAGACCGGGCCCAAGACAGAACCCTGTGGCACCCCACTAGTCACTCTTCTCCAGGATGAAGAGGAACCATTGATGAGCACCCTTTGGGTTCGGTCAGTCAGCCAGTTACAAATCCACTGAGTGGTAGCATAGTCAAGACCGCATTTTACCAGCTTCTTGACAAGAATATCATAGGGCACCTTGTCAAATGCCTTGCTGAAATCAAGGTAGGCTACATCCACTGCGTTCCCTTCATCTACCAGGCTTGTAATTCTGTCAAAAAACGAGATCAGGTTAGTCTGACATGACTTATTTTTCAGAAATCCATGCTGACTATTGGTGATCACAGCATTCCTTTCTATGTGCTCACAAGCCTTTCTCTTGTCAGGATTCAGCTTTAGTTTGTTGGCCCTTATCCAGCCCATTACCACCTCTAGGAACTGTTCCCACACCTGTAAAGATTCACCTACACCATCTCTTAGTGCATTACAATATAGGTAAACATGGAGAGAGAGACAGTTCAAAATAAATAAAGATCTGTGTAACATCTCATACAAAAATGAAGATGGATCTTCTTGATAATTAATCTTGAAGGTGGTTTTCTAGGGTTTATGCTGAAATATGCCTGAGAATTTTATTTTTCATTTGGTGGCATCAGCGCAGCTTTGTGGCCCAGAGGCTTGGAAGCATCTCCAAAGGGATTCAAAGCCTCTGGATTTGGTGAAGTGTTTGTCTGCAGGGTGAAGAGTCACATTCTGATGATGTCTCCATTTGGAGACCTCTGTGCATGTAGAGTTCCGGATTTTAAAAGTGTCAGAACAGCACAAAAATAGAAACTAGTAAAAAGAGTAAGAGACATGTCAAGGGGTGAAGGAAAACATGAGAGGAAGAGAAGAAAAGGGGGTGGAGATTGAATGTCTTACTCTCAACAAAGGGGACCAAAATCAAAACTCTGGGGCCTCAATCAGAAAAATGGTTTGTTGCATAGAAAACAGGCTGCTCCGTTATGCAAAGTGTAGGGATGACGTTCTTTATACACAGGTGGGGAGACTGTGGCCCTGCAGATGTTGCTGGACTACAGCTCCCATTGGCCATAGCTGAGAATAATGGGAAATGGAGTCCAACAACTTCTGGAGGGCCACAGGTTCCCTATTCCTGCTCTATAGGCTTAGGTATACAGTAAGCATTTAAGTGGGGGTTATATTCCAGACATTGTGCCGAAATCCAAAATCACACATAGTCAGAACACACTGGGTGCAATGGTGGGTGGGACTGCCAAAGTAGGTTTTCCCAGACGCCTACCCACTTTCTGCCCCCTTTTAATTTTTTTAAAATTATTTTGTCAAGTGCATAAAGCTGAAGTTAAATGTGCGTAACTTGCTTGCCTACTGTAGCTTGATGTCAGGTTCATGTTCTGACAGGTAGGGATGCAAGTCAGCCAGAGCTGCCAAGGTAACAGCTCAGCTGAGACCAATGCTCTGCCTAGCAGGAGATGAAAAGGCAGTTGGCATGCAGCTGTAGGAAGAAGTCCATGTTTTGCAAGAGAAGCAGCTTTGGGAGAGGGGCTGCTTTTGCTTTTGGAGACTGATGCTGCCTTAAAACTAGCATTGCCTATCTATTTCTCCCATCCCCAAACTGTAACTTTGAAAACAAACTGCTATTGCAAAAGGTACCATCAGTCTCCATTCTTCTCGCCCTTCAAGTAAACTTGCCCTTCAGTGGTTGCCCCTAGGACTTCCTCCTGGTTTCCACTCCTATTGCATACACACATGAACTCCTCCAGGTTATGCCTTAGGAAAATCTTGTGCAGTCAATCCCAAATGTGTTTCTCATTAGAACTTCATTTTCACAGTCTACCCTGCACTAAAAAAAAAAAAAAAAAAAATGAGAATTCTGTGTCACAGCAACCTGGATTTCTCTGAAGTGAAATGCTGGATTCTGCTGCCAGTGCAAAACATGCAGCTTAAGCATGCTCTCTCTGGTTTTGCATATTTTACTTTGTAATGTTTACAGAGTTTCAGAAAATATCCCACTCCACCCAAAAGAGCTGTCTGAGGCACTGAAACATCTGAGCTTAGAATTCAATGGCATTCTGGCTTCTGCGGTTTCAGCAGGCATTCCCCTCACACTTTCATAAGGGCCAGAAATCTGCTCTTTAAAAACAAAAAGGGAACAGCCAAATAATACCACATTCTGTGAGGTTGTCCATACTCTTGCAGCATCACAACATATACCCAGCCCTGTGTGATACTTTGTTGAAGACATACTTACTGTTCCTTGATACGTCAATGTTTTTTATACAGTGGTACCGCAGGTTAAGAACTTAAGTCGTTCTGGAGGTCCATTCTTAACCTGAAACTGTTCTTAACCTGAGGTACCACTTTAGCTAATGGGGCCTCCCGCTGCCACCACGCGATTTCTGTTCTCATCCTGAAGCAAAGTTCTTAATCTGAGGTACTATTTCTGGGTTAGCGGAGTCTGTAACCTGAAGGGTCTGTAACCCGAGGTACCACTTATATATATTTATTGTTATTCATCACCTTGAGGCTTCAGAAATAAGGCAGGATGAAAATTCAGCTAGAAATAAATTACATGAATCAGTGTCTGATTTATATTGAGCTAAATCCCCCCAAACTGACAGGACATTTTGGGGTAAGAACGATAGCTAATGAACCTAAATATAGGAGTGTTCATATGTGCATTCTAGAAGTATGCAATTAATGTACCCATTTACACTCTCTACTCTCATCATCCCTGACCACTGGCTCATAGGAATTGTGAACTGAACAACAGGTTCTCCATCTTTGCTTTAGAAGTAATCACACACAGAAAATCGCCCCAAGTGAAGCACTGTTCAAGGCTGCCCAAAATGTGCATGAAAATCAGTGCAGCCTTTCAGTTCAGCCCTACATAGAACCCAGCTCTTCATAACCAATTAGTCACACTGTATGAAGAAGAGCCATGGCAGAGCAACTGCTTTGCTTGCAGAAGGTCCCAGATTCAATCCCTGGCACTTCCAGGTACAGCTGGGAGTGCCCCCTGCCTGAAGCCCTGCAGAGTTGCTGTCAGTCAGTGCAAACAATACAGACCTTGATGGTCTCACTAAGTATAAGGCAGCTTCCTATGTTCCTGTGTGAAAGCCTCTGCTGTAATAAATCTGCTAGTCTTAAAGGTTCTGCAAGTTGGTGCAATTTGTTCGCTGTAGCTGAATACTATGGCTACACTTCTGAGAAATGCACAGTGATGGAGCTATATAAATTAACAAAAGTGATATTCTTAGGGGAGTGGCCGTAGCTTAGTAATAGAGCATCTGCTTTGTGTGCAGAAGGTCTCTGGTTCAATCCCCAGGGAGGTCTGGGAGAAACCACTATCTGAAACCCTGGGGAGCAATTGCCCCTGCTCCCATGTAAACAAAATGGAACTGGATGGGTCAGTGGTCTGACTCAGTAATGGGCAGTTTCCTACGTTCCTATTAGCTTTTTTTTTAAGCCCCAGTTGCTGTGGCCAACCAATTTCTGGATGTAATGTCAGTGTTTGATCATCTTCCCTTCAGCCCTGGTTGTGGGGAAGGAATTTCTCAGTGGGAATCAGGGATTTTTCTTCATTATTTTTCCTTTTGTTCTTCACTCTCTCCTTTAGATGTTCCCCCACCCGTTGGTTCATTCTTGTCATCAGCTTTGTTGGTCTTTTGATCTATAGCTTCTTTATTTCAATTCTTGCTTTTTTATATTCAGTTCATGCTTTTGGGGTTGTTGTTTCATTGGACTTTATTTCAGTAGTTTTAACTAGACTTTTGATGTCAGCCTCCCTTGTTTTGTTTTCTCATTTTGTTGTGCCTTGTTTGCCTAGATCCATTCTCATTTTTTTAAGTATATTTTTGTTCTTTTATCTTTTATCTTCTGCTTCTCTTTGCTCTTCTCCCCACAAAAGTAAAAACTCAGATATGGAGTGCGGGTTTTCATTGGACTTGGAGGCAGAAATTCAAATGCAACCTTCAAAGTGGTGTTTGGTCTAAACTTGTAACAAAACCGAATGGGGAAGATTTAACAATTGATTTGCCCTAGATATAGGGTCTCAGTCTTGGAGAGTCAAGGGCTGAGGGAGAAACAGGAAAATATAGTAATAGATTATTCTGGAAGGTTATTTTTTTATTCCTGAAAGGGGGAGCGGGGAGTAATGACTAGATGACTTCTGTGATAACCTCTCTGGCTTACTGACTATAAAATTATGCACAATCAAACAAAGGATTGGGAACATACAAACAGAAGTGGGACCTGCAACAACACCTCACCTCCTAAAAGGAGTGCTCCTGTCCAGTGTCACAGCCAGCCAGCCATGCCCTCTCTGGGATACTCCATCCCGCTGCCATCACCCCCAATGCCCAGGTTTCCCATTTTTCGCTTCCAATTGCCATTCAGAATTCCATGGCTGCTCAACATGCCCTGTCTTCCTCACTAGGCTGTTGGGGAGGCTGCTCCATTATGGTTTCTAAAAATGAGATTTTGCAAATCTTAGGGTTTCCACATGTGTGCTAATACCTTGCCTCTTCTTTCTCAGTGGCCCTGCTTGGATGCCAGTCATGTTGGCACTCATCACCTGAGTTTGCTGTCAAGCAGACTGAAAAAGGAGCTCTTTGGGATCAGACCAAGAATCTCTCTAGTCCAGCATGCCATTGCGAAGAATGGCTAGTCAGATGTCCCATGGCAATCAGAAGCAAGCTAATGAAACCGTGACCCTCCTTGACTCTTTAGCATCTGGCATTCAGAGTTGTGCTGTTCTTTTCAGCTGTCATAGTCACTACCTGTCCTCCTTGGAATTATCTAATTCCCTTTTAAAGCCATCTAAAATTATCATGGCAGCAAAGTCCACAGCTTAATTATGCATTGTGTGAATACATATTTCCCTTTGTTTGTCCTGAATCAAGGCCTAATCAATTTCATTGGGTGACCCTGAATTCATGCTAGTATTATGAAAGAGGGAGGGAAATTGCATGTCGCAATGCAGTCACAATGGCATTTTGTATAAAATAACTTTGGTTGCAATGCTGTTAAAATAGACTACTGGGATTCATTATTATAAATTAACCTACCACCAGAGATGTAGATTTTTGTTAAAATTAGTATGTGAAGTTTCCTTGACCGCTAGGGCAAGAGGTTTGCCAATTGACCAGAAAAACAAATGGCTCGACCAGTTCTTATGCCTTCCATAGCAGCTTGATCGGCAGAAATCAACGAAGGAAGCACTTCACAGTTTCATAGAATCATAGAATCATAGAATCATAGAGTTGGAAGAGACCACAAGGGCCATCGAGTCCAACCCCCTGCCAAGCAGGAAACACCATCAGAGCACTCCTGACATATGGTTGTCAAGCCTCTGCTTAAAGACCTCCAAAGAAGGAGACTCCACCACACTCCTTGGCAGCAAATTCCACTGTCGAACAGCTCTTACTGTCAGGAAGTTCTTCCTAAGGTTTAGGTGGAATCTTCTTTCTTGTAGTTTGGATCCATTGCTCCGTGTCCGCTTCTCTGGAGCAGCAGAAAACAACCTTTCTCCCTCCTCTATGTGACATCCTTTTACATATTTGAACATGGCTATCATATCACCCCTTAACCTCCTCTTCTCCAGGCTAAACATGCCCAGCTCTCTTAGCCGTTCCTCATAAGGCATCGTTTCCAGGCCTTTGACCATTTTGGTTGCCCTCCTCTGGACACGTTCCAGTTTGTCAGTGTCCTTCTTGAACTGTGGTGCCCAGAACTGGACACAGTACTCCAGGTGAGGTCTGACCAGAGCAGAATACAGTGGCACTATTACTTCCCTTGATCTAGATGCTATACTCCTATTGATGCAGCCCAAAATTGCATTGGCTTTTTTTAGCTGCCGCGTCACACTGTTGGCTCATGTCAACTTTGTGGTCAACCAAGACTCCTAGATCCTTTTCACATGTACTGCTCTCAAGCCAGGTGTCCCCATCTTGTATTTGTGCCTCTCATTTTTTTGCCCAAGTGCAATACTTTACATTTCTCCCTGTTAAAATTCATCTTGTTTGTTTTGGCCCAGTTCTCTAATCTGTCAAGGTCGTTTTGAAGTGTGATCCTGTCCTCTGGGGTGTTAGCCACCCATCCCAGTTTGGTGTCATCTGCAAATTTGATCAGGATGCCCTTGAGTCCATCATCCAAGTCATTGATAAAGATGTTGAATAAGACCGGACCCAAGACAGAACCCTGTGGCACCCCACTAGTCACTCTTCTCCAGGATGAAGAGGAACCATTGATGAGCACCCTTTGGGTTCGGTCAGTCAGCCAGTTACAAATCCACTGAGTGGTAGCATAGTCAAGACCACATTTTACCAGCTTCTTTACAAGAATATCATGAGGCACCTTGTCAAATGCCTTGCTGAAATCAAGGTAGGCTACATCCACTGCGTTCCCTTCATCTACCAGGCTTGTAATTCTGTCAAAAACGAGATCAGGTTAGTCTGACATGACTTATTTTCAGAAATCCATGCTGACTATTGGTGATCACAGCATTCCTTTCTAGGTGCTCACAGACTGTTTGCTTAATGATCTGCTCCAGAATCTTCCCTGGTATTGATGTCAGACTGACTGGGCGGTAATTATTTGGGTCCTCTCTTTTCCCCTTTTTGAAAATAGGGACAACATTTGCCCTCCTCCAGTCTGCTGGGACTTCGCCTGTTCTCCAGGAATTCTCAAAGATGACTGCCAGTGGTTCTGAGATCACATCTGCCAGTTCTTTTAATACTCTTGGATGCAGTTCATCTGGCCCTGGAGACTTGAATACATCTAAACTAGCCAAGTATTCTTGTACTATCTCCTTAGTTATTCTGGGCTGTGTTTCCTTTGCTGCATCATTTGCTCCAAATTCTTCAGGTCGGGCATTGTTTTCTTTATCGGAGAAGACTGAGGCAAAGAAGGCATTGAGGAGTTCAGCTCTTTCTGTGTCCCCTGTTTGCATTTCACCATCTTCTCCTCTGAGTGACCCCACTGTTTCTTTGTTCTTCCTTTTGCTACGGACATACCCATAAAAGCCTGTTTTGTTGCTTTTAACCTCTCTAGCAAGCCTGAGTTCATTCTGTGCTTTAGCTTTTCTGACTTTGTGTCTACACGTGCTGGCTATTTGTTTGAATTCCTCTTTGGTGGTTTCCCGCCTTTTCCATTTTTGTACACATCCTTTTTTAATCTTAACTCAGTTAAAAGTTCTTTAGATAGCCACCCTGGCTTCTTTAGGCACCTTCCATGTTTCCGTCTCATTGGTATTGCCTGACGTTGTGCTTTTAGTATCTTCCTCTTAACAAACTCCCAGCCATCATGAACTCCCTTTCCTTTTAGTATTACTGTCCATGGGATCTCACCCAGCACTTCCCTAAGTTTTATGAAGTCAGCTTTCTTAAAGTCAAGAAATTGAGTCCTAGTATGCTTGGCTGCTCCTTTCCGCTGTATAGTAAACTTCAGAAGAGCATGATCACTCACGCCTAACGATCCTTCCACTTCTACCCCACTAACCAGATCATCAACATTGGTTTGGACCAGATCTAAAATGGCTGTTCCTCTTGTTGCTTCTCCCACTTTCTGGACAATGAAGTTGTCTGCAAGGCCAGTGAGGAATCTGTTTGAACAGTTTGCACATCGACCTGCTGCTAAAAGCTCAACTGCAATGGCCAGATGAACAACGCTGGCAGGAGATGGCACAAATGTCACTGAGGAAGCACTTAACATTTACCGTATTTTTCGCACCATAGGACGCACCAGACAATAGGACGCACTTTGTTTTAGAGGGGGGAGAACAAGAAAAAAAAAATCTCCCCCTCTCTGCCCAACGCCCCTTCAGTGAAGTGGCAGGAGGCGCTGTGCCGAGAGGGGGAGAACTTTCCCCCTCTTGTTTTCCCGCTCTAAAACAAGGTGCCGTTTAAGGTGCATTCAGGCGGCTACCTTGGAAGCCTGGAGAGCGAGAGGGGTCGGTGTGCACTGACTCCTCTCGCTCTCCAGGCTTCAGGTTCCTTTCGACCTGCTCTTTGGGGCTGACAGGGGGAATCCCACCACCAGCCCCAAAGAGCAGGTCAGGGAGCAGCAGAAAGGCGCAGCGGAGAGGCTCCTGCCATAGCCGTGCGTCATCTCTCCAGCCGGGAGAGGGTCGCGGGGCTATGGCGTCTTTGCTCCATAGGACGCACACACATTTTCCCTTCATTTTTGAAGGGGAAAAAGTGCGTCCTATAGAGCAAAAAATACGGCACACTTTTCCTCATAGCTTTTCGCCAATAGCAAGCAGACACTTCTGCCTCTAGTTCCTTTGTGCTGAAATGTTCTGGAGAAGCTGGAGGGTCTATGAACATTCTATGGAA